CCACTGTTCATTTGAATGGTATCTGATTCCTCATATGACGTTCTCTTACCAAACCTGTATTAGGCAGCAGCTGACACCCTGTATTAATAAGCAGACACTAGGGCATTCCCCAAGGGTGTCCATGCACTTAGTACAGGTTTCACTGTATAACTTTCTGATCTTTCAGGGTCGTGCTTCCTTTTTCCTTCCACTTGCTCTGACTGGAAGGTGGAACCAGCGTAGATGTTACAGGTATGTGGTCAGGATTTCATCTGAATATCCTCTTTCAAGATCAAAAAAGTTGTGTGTGGTCAATGCAAATTTTAATTTATTGACTTGAATGCTCAAGTCATTTATATAGTGACTTGAAATAAACATGTTAAAAGCCAAAACTCTGGGAAACAAACCCCCGAACTCCTGGGCACGCTGTAACCAGGGCTCTAACAACTGAGCCAGACTGTCGTGTTATGGCCATTCATGTACATCAGAGAAGATGAAATATAGTTTGCTTCTAGTCCTGTTACCAAATCTTTCTTACAGGACTTTTGATACCTAAAACTAGAGTGGTAGGTGAGGCCCAGTTCAAATGTCTAACATTTCATGTACCAAACCTGTTACCCATTTGGGTTCATCTGTTGATTCACCCATTGAACGTAACAAGTCAGACCAAATTCATTAATACAATGTAACTTGCTTACTGGTCAAATTATTATTAATAATAGTAATTTATGCATTAGATTTGGCACATGAAAAGTTTGACAATTCCCATGTGGTCCATGCAAAATTAATTCAAGGTTTGAGCCAAGTTAGATATGCAGGCCTGGATTGCTTCAAACCTTAATCTCTAATTCATTTATTTATAAATAAAGGAATCAGCTACAGTAAATGGAAGGTTCAACGTTTGCCCTGGGCCTAAATTAATCCTGCCAAAAATAAGTGGTAGGCAAGTTGACAATAGCCAAATTGATGAAGCTAGAATTGACCTGTTTCCACACCCAAGCTGATCTTGGTATGTTTCTTCTTCTCAGTTCAGGTGTAGAAGATAAATACATTGATCCAAAGACCATAGTTCACACATATCACTTCCAAGACAGCTTACCGCGGTTACCAATTCCAAAACTAGAAGATACGTGCAACAGGTATTTGGATGCCCAAAAACCACTTTTAACTCCTGAACAATATGAAGAGACTAAACGCCTTGTTGAGAAGTTTCAGAAACATGAAGGTCCAGGTACAGTGTAATTTTATTGATGTAGAATATTATACTGATCGATTTGTACAGCCCTTAATGAAAGACTTAGTTATGTTGTCTGTTTGAAGTGTATATGACAGACTGAGTGTTTGTAGTGGGGCCTGCCGTTGAAAAAATATAACAAAGCCATCTATTCATGGATTGATTGTTATTCATGGCCTGCAAAAAAAGGAACTCAAAAACAGAAACAAACAAAGAAAACAAAACAAGTTGTGATTGAAATGTCTAGGTTACTGTACATGTGATGCATAAGCAGGCTTTCTGTTAGAGGGGGTGTTTACATGAGAAAACTTGCACCAGCGTGAGTTTCATAGCTGGGATGACTTTTTGATTTTGTATCACGTTATTTACATGATGACTTGGTCATTTCATGTCTCATTATTTGAAAGTACACTTCCTGTGTAAACTTATGTGTGATTCAAAATCGCAAACATTACACATGCGCTACCCGCTACAGTCTACTGGCAGACTGATTTCACAGTGAAATGTGTGGTCGTTTTGTGTTTACATGATACTGTTGCGAGATTTCATACTGGAGTGAAATTCTCGCCCCAGTACAACAATCGGGGTGAACTCATGCCAAAGTGACTCATGCCAGCATGACATTTTGTGGTGGTATCATGTAAACAAATGTAGAGCCATGAGAGGGAACCGGACCGAGTGAACTAGCTCTGGCACGAAGGTCGCCCGGTGTCATGTTAACACCTACTTAGTAGACTGCAAAAAGCGTTGGCAGAGGTAAAGATAAATTATAAAATTATTTTACAGGTTAAATATAATAGTCTGAGAAAATAGCCAACATTTTGCAACGTTACCACTTGTTTTTCAGGGAAATATGTCTGGAGAATGACAGCAGAAATGACATACTCAATTACTTGTAAATACCCAGATCTGGGTAGTGCCTCTGATATGGTTGTGCTGTGTGAGAAATTCTAATTGCAATCACCAATCAGAAGTTAACTTTTTAAGCCTGATCTGGGAAGGGAGATGTCATGATTAGTGATGGATTATCTGCACTTGTTTATCAGGTCATTTTGCAAGAATAGCAGTGGTGGGGCCCCAAAATGTTTGCTGCTTTCTCAGGCTAGGTCATATTTCTCTGCCAAAAGTAACATTGCGCTTAAGTGTTATAATGGAATGGTAACTGCACTTGAGCTTTAAGTACATGATCAATCCTTCTATAATGATATTTGAATCACTGATGATAGAATTTTGTCAGTCTCAAATTCATGTTGAGACAGAAAGGTTTATCAGACTGGTTTAAAACTGATATGATTAGATGGATTATCCAACTGTGGTGTGAAAGTGGCCATTAGTTGCCCTGAAACATAAAAGATATGACCTTGATTTTGCATTTTCTACACAGGTCTAAATGCTGAACTTGTACAGAAAAACAAGAGAAACAAACACACTAGTTACATATCAGGTATACTTGTCAAGAAACCTTTTTATCATGGACAATACCAGTGCTGTGCAGTAATTAATGTAATCATTTTTTTTACAGGTCCCTGGTATGACATGTATTTATCATACAGAGACTCCATAGTCCTCAACCACAATCCTTTTATGATGTTTAAAGATGATCCAGTAGCAGAAAATAATGACCAGGTAACATGTCTGGACAGTGAATGGACAGGTTGCTATGTACATATAAAGGGTCTTGTTTTTGGGACTTTTAAGGGGTCAATATGTGTCTGAGACCTATGCCATTGTTCAAAAGCCAATATAATCACTAAGTTAACTTAGAACCAAGTGTTAAAACTTAATCTAAATTCTTCTTTCTTATTATACTGTGATTATCTTTCCTTGGGTTCTTCGTGTGGTTTGGGGTGCAAATGTGTTAATGCACTAGATTAATGAGCTTTGTTGCTGTTTAAAGTTTAAGTGACTCTGTGACTTTATTATGGGTGACCTGCTTAATCAAGTCTAAACCTTTTAGCTGTATCTTTAAACTGGTAATGCACTTTTACTCATTTAATGAACAGGATGTCAAGTGATGTCACTAATATTTAGGAATAATTTATTTCCCTGATTTGTTTTCACTCAGTTACAAAATTTCGTTTAGTATCATTTTTTTTCCTGACATTTTCAAAAGTTCTAATGATTTGTGTAAAATACACATATTTCTAAGCAGCTATGGCAACTGAATATTTTCTAAGTGCAAGTGAGTTGCATTGAATTTGCATATCTATATAATATCCATTTTGCTCTTTTTTGCCATTTGTTTCTTATGCAACCAAAGCGAAACTGAAGCTGCATGTACCTGTCTTTGGTCACTGCACACATTTCACTCTAAAAAAAAAAAGAAAGAAAGAAAAATAATAAAAAAATAAAAATTTTCACTGTATCATCATTTGTGTAATGTGCGTTTTTATTCTTGTTCTGCCTGTATTGTAATGCTATTAGTTTAACTGTTGCATAATGAAATGTAAAAAAGCCAAAACAAAAACATCGAAAAATTGGAGAAACTTATTGACGGCATTTCTATTAAGATGTACTGGTCTTGCTTCACAGGTGGTCAGAGCCACTAACATAATAACATCTGCCATGAGATTCAAGCTGTCACTTGATGAAACACTCCTTGAACCAGATGTATTTCATTTAAAACCACAAACAAGTGACACACAATGGTTTAAAATTCGGTCTACACAGATAATGAAATCCGTGTAAACTTATATTGTCATACTCTTTGGGAGTATTCCTAATACTTCCACTGTTCATTTGAATGGTATCTGATTCCTCATATGACGTTCTCTTACCAAACCTGTATTAGGCAGCAGCTGACACCCTGTATTAATAAGCAGACACTAGGGCATTCCCCAAGGGTGTCCATGCACTTAGTACAGGTTTCACTGTATAACTTTCTGATCTTTCAGGGTCGTGCTTCCTTTTTCCTTCCACTTGCTCTGACTGGAAGGTGGAACCAGCGTAGATGTTACAGGTATGTGGTCAGGATTTCATCTGAATATCCTCTTTCAAGATCAAAAAAGTTGTGTGTGGTCAATGCAAATTTTAATTTATTGACTTGAATGCTCAAGTCATTTATATAGTGACTTGAAATAAACATGTTAAAAGCCAAAACTCTGGGAAACAAACCCCCGAACTCCTGGGCACGCTGTAACCAGGGCTCTAACAACTGAGCCAGACTGTCGTGTTATGGCCATTCATGTACATCAGAGAAGATGAAATATAGTTTGCTTCTAGTCCTGTTACCAAATCTTTCTTACAGGACTTTTGATACCTAAAACTAGAGTGGTAGGTGAGGCCCAGTTCAAATGTCTAACATTTCATGTACCAAACCTGTTACCCATTTGGGTTCATCTGTTGATTCACCCATTGAACGTAACAAGTCAGACCAAATTCATTAATACAATGTAACTTGCTTACTGGTCAAATTATTATTAATAATAGTAATTTATGCATTAGATTTGGCACATGAAAAGTTTGACAATTCCCATGTGGTCCATGCAAAATTAATTCAAGGTTTGAGCCAAGTTAGATATGCAGGCCTGGATTGCTTCAAACCTTAATCTCTAATTCATTTATTTATAAATAAAGGAATCAGCTACAGTAAATGGAAGGTTCAACGTTTGCCCTGGGCCTAAATTAATCCTGCCAAAAATAAGTGGTAGGCAAGTTGACAATAGCCAAATTGATGAAGCTAGAATTGACCTGTTTCCACACCCAAGCTGATCTTGGTATGTTTCTTCTTCTCAGTTCAGGTGTAGAAGATAAATACATTGATCCAAAGACCATAGTTCACACATATCACTTCCAAGACAGCTTACCGCGGTTACCAATTCCAAAACTAGAAGATACGTGCAACAGGTATTTGGATGCCCAAAAACCACTTTTAACTCCTGAACAATATGAAGAGACTAAACGCCTTGTTGAGAAGTTTCAGAAACATGAAGGTCCAGGTACAGTGTAATTTTATTGATGTAGAATATTATACTGATCGATTTGTACAGCCCTTAATGAAAGACTTAGTTATGTTGTCTGTTTGAAGTGTATATGACAGACTGAGTGTTTGTAGTGGGGCCTGCCGTTGAAAAAATATAACAAAGCCATCTATTCATGGATTGATTGTTATTCATGGCCTGCAAAAAAAGGAACTCAAAAACAGAAACAAACAAAGAAAACAAAACAAGTTGTGATTGAAATGTCTAGGTTACTGTACATGTGATGCATAAGCAGGCTTTCTGTTAGAGGGGGTGTTTACATGAGAAAACTTGCACCAGCGTGAGTTTCATAGCTGGGATGACTTTTTGATTTTGTATCACGTTATTTACATGATGACTTGGTCATTTCATGTCTCATTATTTGAAAGTACACTTCCTGTGTAAACTTATGTGTGATTCAAAATCGCAAACATTACACATGCGCTACCCGCTACAGTCTACTGGCAGACTGATTTCACAGTGAAATGTGTGGTCGTTTTGTGTTTACATGATACTGTTGCGAGATTTCATACTGGAGTGAAATTCTCGCCCCAGTACAACAATCGGGGTGAACTCATGCCAAAGTGACTCATGCCAGCATGACATTTTGTGGTGGTATCATGTAAACAAATGTAGAGCCATGAGAGGGAACCGGACCGAGTGAACTAGCTCTGGCACGAAGGTCGCCCGGTGTCATGTTAACACCTACTTAGTAGACTGCAAAAAGCGTTGGCAGAGGTAAAGATAAATTATAAAATTATTTTACAGGTTAAATATAATAGTCTGAGAAAATAGCCAACATTTTGCAACGTTACCACTTGTTTTTCAGGGAAATATGTCTGGAGAATGACAGCAGAAATGACATACTCAATTACTTGTAAATACCCAGATCTGGGTAGTGCCTCTGATATGGTTGTGCTGTGTGAGAAATTCTAATTGCAATCACCAATCAGAAGTTAACTTTTTAAGCCTGATCTGGGAAGGGAGATGTCATGATTAGTGATGGATTATCTGCACTTGTTTATCAGGTCATTTTGCAAGAATAGCAGTGGTGGGGCCCCAAAATGTTTGCTGCTTTCTCAGGCTAGGTCATATTTCTCTGCCAAAAGTAACATTGCGCTTAAGTGTTATAATGGAATGGTAACTGCACTTGAGCTTTAAGTACATGATCAATCCTTCTATAATGATATTTGAATCACTGATGATAGAATTTTGTCAGTCTCAAATTCATGTTGAGACAGAAAGGTTTATCAGACTGGTTTAAAACTGATATGATTAGATGGATTATCCAACTGTGGTGTGAAAGTGGCCATTAGTTGCCCTGAAACATAAAAGATATGACCTTGATTTTGCATTTTCTACACAGGTCTAAATGCTGAACTTGTACAGAAAAACAAGAGAAACAAACACACTAGTTACATATCAGGTATACTTGTCAAGAAACCTTTTTATCATGGACAATACCAGTGCTGTGCAGTAATTAATGTAATCATTTTTTTTACAGGTCCCTGGTATGACATGTATTTATCATACAGAGACTCCATAGTCCTCAACCACAATCCTTTTATGATGTTTAAAGATGATCCAGTAGCAGAAAATAATGACCAGGTAACATGTCTGGACAGTGAATGGACAGGTTGCTATGTACATATAAAGGGTCTTGTTTTTGGGACTTTTAAGGGGTCAATATGTGTCTGAGACCTATGCCATTGTTCAAAAGCCAATATAATCACTAAGTTAACTTAGAACCAAGTGTTAAAACTTAATCTAAATTCTTCTTTCTTATTATACTGTGATTATCTTTCCTTGGGTTCTTCGTGTGGTTTGGGGTGCAAATGTGTTAATGCACTAGATTAATGAGCTTTGTTGCTGTTTAAAGTTTAAGTGACTCTGTGACTTTATTATGGGTGACCTGCTTAATCAAGTCTAAACCTTTTAGCTGTATCTTTAAACTGGTAATGCACTTTTACTCATTTAATGAACAGGATGTCAAGTGATGTCACTAATATTTAGGAATAATTTATTTCCCTGATTTGTTTTCACTCAGTTACAAAATTTCGTTTAGTATCATTTTTTTTCCTGACATTTTCAAAAGTTCTAATGATTTGTGTAAAATACACATATTTCTAAGCAGCTATGGCAACTGAATATTTTCTAAGTGCAAGTGAGTTGCATTGAATTTGCATATCTATATAATATCCATTTTGCTCTTTTTTGCCATTTGTTTCTTATGCAACCAAAGCGAAACTGAAGCTGCATGTACCTGTCTTTGGTCACTGCACACATTTCACTCTAAAAAAAAAAAGAAAGAAAGAAAAATAATAAAAAAATAAAAATTTTCACTGTATCATCATTTGTGTAATGTGCGTTTTTATTCTTGTTCTGCCTGTATTGTAATGCTATTAGTTTAACTGTTGCATAATGAAATGTAAAAAAGCCAAAACAAAAACATCGAAAAATTGGAGAAACTTATTGACGGCATTTCTATTAAGATGTACTGGTCTTGCTTCACAGGTGGTCAGAGCCACTAACATAATAACATCTGCCATGAGATTCAAGCTGTCACTTGATGAAACACTCCTTGAACCAGATGTATTTCATTTAAAACCACAAACAAGTGACACACAATGGTTTAAAAATGTTATCAGGTAGGTACAAGTACATAGGAACAATTACATAGATAGTTAGATAGTTTATTAAAAAGCTGCTGCTAAAGCCTGCTAGCCCAGAGAAGTTGTGCAGGCTTACCAATCCACTTTTTCTCCTTCATGTATTTTATATCGGCAAATGTTACTTGACTTTCGGACAATGATTTGTAATTTAACTAGTATGCTAGCACCGTGGGTTGTTCCACTAGCCTCAAGTAATCAGACAGCACTTTTGTCATGCCCTGACCTACAACCCTGTTCAAAATAACTTGGAACACTTCCGATTTTGTGGCATGCGCAGTACAGTCCCCTCGCCCACGTGCAGTGGTGTTAAAAAGCGCAGTTTGGGAAAGCTTTAGCGATTTTCAACTTTGTGAATGGGAAGCAGGGGAAATCGACTAAGTGTTCCAACTACTCTGTTTGGGGTTGTAGGCTGCAAATGGTACCACCAACCCAAACCCAGGTCAGTAGGAAACCCATGCCCAGCCATGAGCCCCGCCCACCAAACCCAGCCACAACCCTAACACCCGGCCCCTCACGCTGGGATTAGAGGTTCGGTAGGGGTTCAGTAACTTGGTAAAAAGTAAAAACTAAACTACAGTGTGGAAGGGAAGGAGGTAGGAGAAGGAAAGCTCTAAAAAGGCAGTTAAAAAAACAAAAACAAATGTTTTTTACAGGGTCACCTAAAACAATATTGTTTGGACATTGGTCTTGTTGGTTGATAAGACGATTTTTTTTTTTCGCAGAATTTGCTAAAAGTTTAGTTCCCAGCTAAGGCAAACATTTTTGTTCTTGACAACCGACCTGCTTGCCATGGAGCCCACTCCGAAGCAACAATAGCAATATTTCAAGTTCAGTTGCTTTGTTTATGACACTAATAACCTGTTTATGGCACATGCAGGTTTGTTCCCCGGAAGCTTTCATGGTATGGCGCGTTTTTAGTGAAGGCTTTTCCTTTAGATATGAGTCAATACGCGAGGTTGTTTTGTTCAACCCGCATACCTGAGGTGAAAAAAGACAGGCTAGCCACGTTTGAGAATGCTCGACACATGGTGGTCATGAGGAAAGGAAACTTTTATGTTTTCGATACCATTACAACTGATGGTAA